TTAAATTAAAGTTTAAAACCCCAAATGCCTCCTTTAATTTAAGAACTGCCAGGGCCTGTAAAGTGCAAATGTGAGATGGGGGGGGGGGGGGGGGGGGGGTTAAATCTACCACACCTTTAGGTTAATTCTTAATTAAAAAGTCCGACGATAGTCTGTTTTTTATGGAGACCTGGGCATTGGGGACCATGCCTAGGTACATTTTTTATGCCTTTATAGTCTTGAACTTATCCTTTTATAAGTGGCAGTCACAAGTCAGCTTCCCCCATGTACAAAAAACTTCCCACGGAATTTCACTAGAAAACTCACAATATGCAGGCCCACCGTTGCGGGACCAAGGTGTGTGAGTATTTTGGTGAAATTCCGTGGGTTTGGCTTCTGTACATGAAGCAAAGCTCATCACAATTGGCTCATAGTCATGCGATTAAATTGTAGTTGTCCTCTACTCAAATCATTCGGTAAGTTTAGCCTTCATTATATATAAAATTATAAATCATTTTTAAATAATCAAAATTTATTTTTAACTATACATTTCAATAAACTCACGAGTACTATCTATTAATCCACCATTCATTTTTTATTTATTTATAAATTATGCATTTTATAAATTCTTACCAAATGGAATTATGTAATAACTTAAAGAGGCAATAAAGATGTGAATCTTGCAATTCTAATTGAATTTACCCAGTATTAGCAGCATTCAAGACCCGACCAATCTCATAAGAAACGAATCAACTCCATCTGATAAGTATCTGCCACGAGTTTCCTTAAGTCCATGGCATTCGCATTGTACCCAAACCCATAGTCCTCTTCAATTTTATTCATATCAAACTCAATTCCAATCCCACAAGGTATGGTTCTAATTGGAGACGAAGTCAATGGAGAGGACGGGACAGAAGGGGAATGAATGAGTAGGTAGATGAGACGTTGGCAACCGACGCAGAGCTGGAGGTTGGCAACAAGATTCTTATAGTGGCGGTTACTAGGGTGCCACTCTACGTCGAGGCTGAAGATCAGGTGATGGCTACTGTGATTCAATATCGGACAACCAATGTGAAACCATGGAAGTGTCGTGAGCTACTAGGGTCAGCGTGATGTGAAATTGAAGTTGTAGAGGTTGTGGGTCTCGTATGGTATGCGGTGTCCTAAATGGTGATCACCATTCATCCAACTATGACATCATCCTTCACATGTGCACCTCGAAGGGATGAGTTCGACCACCATACCCCGGACTTACTCAACAAATAAGTTTGACACTTTATTCCAATCGAGCTTACATGAGGAGTTCGACTAACTGAATGCTTAAGAAGAGGACTTAACTTCAATGAAGCATCAATCATTCAAGGGTAAATGATTTGCCCTCCAATTGTCCAAAATAGTAAGAGTGTGTTTGAGCCACATTATTTTGAAAGAATGTATTTTGAAATAGTAAATTGATGGAGAATGTATGGTTGAAAAAGAATGAAACATTATTGATGTGATGAAAAATATTATTTTATTGAAAGTGTTATTGAAAATGAGTAGAAGAATGAAAATGAAAATTTTAATGTGACTCAAACATGGGCTAAATGGGAAGGAATAAGGTGAGTTGGCGGAAAACCTACGACCTAGGTAATCATTACGCTACCTTCACCCTAATCTACGAATCAATAATCAATGATGTGACAAGTGGTACTTGGTTTGAGGTCAAATACTATAGCTAGAAATTACTAAAACCGACGAGTAATTGTAATTTCTTCCTCATATAAGGGGGAGGGGGGCAATTCTAAGGGAGAGAGAATCAAATTCTCTCTTTTTAATAAACTCTTAGAAGCGACGTATACTAAGGCCCTTTTTGATTGGTGTTGTTTTTCCTAGAACTTAGAAAAGGAATTTCATTTTCTTGATTTTGGCTTGTTTGATTGTCACAATTTTTTAGGAAAAACTTTTTCCCC